ATTGCCTGAATGAAAATCTTTATGAATTCTTCCAGCATTATGAATATCAAAAAGTCCTCTTGCAATTTGTTGTAATCTAAAAATTTTTAAATAAAAACTTAATTTATTATTCATATAGTAATTTCTCAAATTTCCATCTTTACAATATTCTAATACCATTATATAATCTTTGGTATTTGGATCTTGAGTTACTCCATAACATTGAATAACATCATAAAGATAAATCTGAAGATGAGATTTAATCTAATAAAAATATTGAAAGTGAAATTTAATAATATGTCAATAATACACAAATAAAAATAAAAGTACTAATAAATAGATTACATTTCTTATTTTAATTACCTCATTTAAAAATTCTGTACTTATACAAGATGAATTATCCAAACTTTTTAATGCAACTTCTGTATTACTATTCCTTTTCCATTTTTGATTTTCAATATCCCAAAAATTAATACATCCTTCAGGCCATCTGGCTGAATAAATTTTACCAAATCCACCTCTGGTAATATAAGTAACATCTTCAAAATTTTTAAAAGGTATCCACTCAATATAATTTCTATAATGCACAGCATTAAGTTGTGATTGTTGTATAAATTCATCAATATCTTTATTTCCACTAGTCCAATTATTAAAGTTATCCTTAAATCTTTTAGCATTACAAGGTTGACACCATTTGTATCCTGTACCAGGTTCATTACATTCTCCACATATTCCATATACTTGTTTTCTTTTTTCTAAGTCAGTCATATAAACTACTTTACTATCTGACTCTTCTATTAATTCAGTAGTTGAATCTATAGTAGAATTTGTAATGACATGGCTCTTTTATAATAAATAATTAAAAAAAAAAACTATTACTATTTAAAAAATAATGTTATTAATAATAATGATAACGTGAACTGTTTTTACCTGATATTCACCATTGTAATTCTCCCATAAACTTTTAAAATTTTCTTTAGAATTCATTTTGGATATTTCCATACGATTTGGGTTGTATATATATAGATTGCAATCTATCTATTAAATTCAAAGATAACAAATAACGTTACTTTAATAAATAATTCGCAAATAAACTCTTGTGCAACATGTGTAACATTTATTAAAAATTTCTATAAATAGTATAGTATAACTGTATAAACCTGGGTTACAATTGATCGGCATAAAAAAATTTTCGCAAATGGGTTAAGTCATTATTTAATCATTCTAGTCAATATTATGCTTTTGATAATAATATAATAATAAATTAACTAAGATTGTTTGCTAAAATTTATAGATAATATTAAAGTTAATAATTTCTAACCCAATCCTGTAATAATAAATAAACTACTTTTATTTAAATGAAATCATTATATTACTTAGTAGGCATTGAAAAAAATGGCTCTACTTTTCTTTGAATATAAAATCATAAAATTCAATTGGATGATTCAGTTATTAATTATTATCATGTAAAAAATTGCTTTACTTAAATGAGTTATCATTTATAAATTTCGTTATCATATGACTTTTTCCTTTTGTCGATCCGTAGTGGAATTGTCATGTGATACCGATGAATAATTATAGTAATCATAAACTCTAATTTTCACAGTTACGAAATTTTTGATTAATTACGGTGAATAACAAATAAATATTTTATGAAATTTTATTAGAATTAAAATCAAATAATTCATCATCGTTATATTACAGTACTAATCGGAAAAAAAAATTTTTGGATCATTAATTAAGAATACATATTTGTAATTAACAGAAAATAAAAATGAAATATATTAAAAAAAAAAAATCTTTTTTTGCATTTGACTTTGATCAATTAAAATAAATATAGTTTATATAGTTTGATAAATAAAATTAAAAATCCATTTTCACAAGTTTTAAATCATCAAAAACTATCGTTTATCCGTTGAAATACTATGTAAAAAATATTTTAAAATTTTGTATATCATTAAACGTGATTAAACAAGTGGTACGTACCATTTATCAAAAAAAGTTGAATTTTTATTACTCAAATTTTGCGCCCTTTGATCGCAGTTTTTTTACCTTAGCGTTAACTAAAAAAAAAAATCCAAAATATTAATACAGTATTCTCTATAAATTTATTATGCAATATGCATCTTTTAGTTTACATCTTTATAAAATTGATTGTTATAATACTTTTTTTAAAAAAAATAAAAAAAAATTTGAATTTTGTATTAAAAATTTCCTTTAGGTTCATTTCGAAATTTGTATTTGTCGCAACTTGATCAGTTGATCAGCAATTTGCATATTATTATCAAACTGTACGTGAAAAATAAAATTCTTTTTTTTTTTCTAATTAAAACTAATTAAAATAGTAAAAAAAAATATTCCTTTTCCCAGCTGTGGTAATTATTTTGATATAACAGCACATGAATTTGCGAACTCCATAGATTTGGATTTTCCCACGACTGGGATAACTATCAAAATTGACGATATTAATGTGTTACAAATTATATTTCTAAAATAAAAGACCATTTACAAATAAAGACGAGCAACATGACACAAGTTTTCTGGATAAAATAACTTTATTGATTAATTCTATAATTAGCAACTAATTGAAAAACCTAAGGTAAATAGGATTATATTATTTCAAATCTAAGCCAATAATTTCTGAATACTTAGTTTATTTTCTTTATCAGATTTAACTTGATGGAATAAATGGCTTAGATTGATCTGCAAATCTAAAAGATTTGATGATAGAAGTATAATTTTTATTTAAATTAGATTATTTTCTTAGAAAGTAAACAAATTGTACAGTTCTGATTTGTTCTTAACAATAAGTAAATATTCATGAAATTTTATTAGAATTAAAATCAAATAATTCATTATCGTTATACTATTCGGTAAAAAAAAAAATTTGGATCATTAGGATGTAATATTTGTTATCAGCAGAAAATAATAATGAAAATGTATTGAATAAATTGCTTATCTAATATCTATAGTAAGAGAGTTGTGAAAAAAATTTTTTTTTGCTTTTTTTGCATTTGACTTTCATCAATTAAACCAAATGTAGTTTGATCTAAGATCAATTTTATCATTAAAACTATCATTGATCCGTTGAAGTATGTAATTTACTTTCGAAATATTTTAAATTTTATATAATTACTGAAACGCGATTAAACCTTACACCAATGAAAACGTGACATAAATTTGTAAATAAGTTAGTGTACAATGTTTTCTTTAGTAACAACAATTTTATCTTTGACCATTTTTTCTTGACATTAACTTTCCAAAGTTTCAGGTTGTATATGACAGAAACATCATTATAGTTCTTATGGCAGATAAATTTATGATGCTTTCAACTTTGAGATTGTTAAGATTAATCCTATTATTATCAAGTTTGGTATATCCTTCATCTCCTTCATTGAAATGATAATTATAAAAGAATTAGAAGAGCCCCTTAGAATGTAATAATTGAATGACATTTCAATTTTTCCATTTCAATGATATTGCTAATTTGCTATAAAAGTGAATGAATATAAGTTAAGAAATTAAAATAGTAAGTTTCTTTGCAAAACTTACCATTTTGATTTCCAGTCACTGATTTGAAACACTTTGAGACATTTTAAGAAAATAAAATAAAGATAAATATATATATAAAGTTTCAAAGTTAACTTTGAAACTTACCATCTAAAGTCCAATCAAAGCTGAAATTTACAAAAGAAACAAAAAATATCAGTAATTATTTCTTTTAAAAAAGTCAAGATAAAAAATTCCGAAATTTATTACCAAACCCTACAAAAAAAAAAATCAAAGAGAAATATTAATTAATAACTGAAATTGCAAAACTTACATTTCAATACTATAAAAAACCCTATACATGTGTAAAATGTTAATTTTTTTTATAATTTTGATTTAATTAGAAAACATTAACTAAGTTTCACCTTGCAAAAACTTACTATTCTGTGCTTTTAGAGTCCCAATATTGAAATCTATAAAAAAAAATTAGAGAAACATTAGTTAACATTTCCTTTAAAAAAAAAATAGTATAAATAAAAAATTTTTGGTTACAATTTTAAAACTTACTAAGGATTCAATGTCAAAAAAACTATTATAAAAAGAAACTAAAAAGGTTAGTCTAAAAAAAGAAAGTAAACAAAATGTTTATACATTTTTATAAAAATTTGATATATAAGCCGTCATCAATATGATGATGCGCCACGTCCTTTATCATGCAAATTCTTAATAATAAACATGTGAATGAAAATTTTAAAAAAATAATTAATAAGAATTCTACTCAAAATCCATAAGTTTGAATAATGGTAAGAGTTAATTAACTTTTCTCGACTTTTTAATTCTGAGTGCTATCATTTCATTTAAGAAAAAAGTGGAAAATATTTATAATCGGTAAAATATAAGAAGGTAGTTTTGCATATGCGACCAAGTATATATTTATATTTTAATGAATCCTAGAAAAGAATTTCTTTGTTTGTCACAAGGTTTAACAAAATAATTTTTAACGTTCGGTAATAAGATTTTTTGTATATAAAATTCATTATATCTTCGATTATTGACTTATTGTCATAATTAAATATAAAAATGTAAAATAGAAAGAATGGTGTCGAACACTTGGAAACTTGAGTACAACGTTAAATTTTAAGTACAATACTTCTCTATTTCTGGTTATAAGTATGAATAAATATTATTATGGTGTAGTCGAAATGACCGCAATCTGCGATGGCGGTTCACATCCTAAATCGTGTAATTCCTAAATTGCGAGAAATTCAACTTAATGATCATGCGCTATGATATAAAAAATACTTTAAAAGAACCTTCGAAGTATTTTGATTATTTGAAATTATTAATAATTATTAACTTTATTTAAAGTAAATAAATTACTTTCTATAATTACTTCCTATAACTTTCTATAATCATATCAGTTGTTAACTTTATGATAAATTTTAACTATTTCATTTGAGAAAATAATTATTTAGCTATTATTAATGAAGATACAAAATAAAAAATATTTATATATCGACGCATTGAAAATCGCGAAATTCAAAACCGAATATACAAATGATTTAATTCGGATAATTACACTATCATATCATATAAGAAAAAATACATATATATTTAGATAATTAAAAAAAAAGCAAAAGTTATGTGTATCTGCGAGTCCATTCCCGTGCAATAGCTTCATAACGATTATGATCATTCTTATACACACTAGCAATTTCAGGTACAAGTGGATCGCCTAATATTAAAATGACTAATTATCTTAAATAATTGGAATACAAAGTACAATAATCAAATAATTAATTACCAATCGACTCAATGTAATAAGATGAGTGTGATGAAATGAATACCTTGGTTTGGGTAAGTTAACAATTGACAAATTGACAAAAGTTTGAGTAATAAAAGTTTGATTAAAATTTATATATAAAAGATTTGCAACTATAACCGATTTACCTTTTTGAATATTACTGGTGTCCATAGAAGAAAATTCAGATTCATATAGCGACGATTGTCAATATTCAGATGATAGATCCTTGTTATAAACCAAATCTAGTGTGGAATATGTAAGTACGTAATTAAAATATGCTACAATTATATGAATAAAGTATACCTCTGGTGGTTTAAGCAGATAATTTGATGGAAAATAAATATCAAGAAAAAATATACTACCCGAGTATGGGGAGTCAGACTTATCAAAATATAATATCAAGTAGTTAGTAATTGTTTAAATAAATAATTCACTACTTGTTATATAGGCTGTTAAATTCGGCAAAAAAAATACCCACAGGGCCAATAATTGTAGCCTGCCAATGGAAAAGATTATCGTCAAAATAACTGATACTACAAAATGTCGGCGTGTTTAATACTGAATATTGCATTTCCTAATAGAGATATGTAAAAAATTAAAAAAGCTAATAATTATATTCTTTAAATCCGGCAGTTGAAAATACAACAATTATTTACTTTATTAATTCTTTTAAGCACCATATTAGTTGCTTTATCGTTTGGTAGAAAACAAATACTAAATTATATAGTAAATATGTTATTGTCTCTTTATGATAAAAAAAAAAAAAATGTCAGCCTTAAATATTTTAATCCTAAAAAAGAGCGATCATCAAAATACCGATTGTATAACGTTTTACATTTAGTAATATCATTCTATTCTTTTTTTGGAAATATTGTCAGTATTACATAATTCCGGCCTTGAAAGACGCCTGGTTTATGATATAACTAGACAAATACTATTTGTAACGTTTCCATTCCACCAAAACCATTCTAAACAGATGATCGCACAATATCGAAATATTATAACCGTATATACAGTACCTTTTGATACTCGAGCCTCGCTTATAGGAAGTTTCCAATCCAATTTTCTATCGATAATCAACGAAGAACTGGGTTTGTATTTAAGGAATATATATTATTACTTATTATTCTTCAATATTTAGGGTATAATATTTACCGTATAACACTGACTAAAATACCCTGGGTATAAATCAATTTACCCTATTTAAAAAAATTAAATTATACCCGAAGGTATTTTGTATGAAACATGGAAAAATTAACCGGAATTAGCCTAATTCTACCAGAATTAAAATATTACAAACATGTTCGGATCGATTATAAAGACTAATTAATTGAATTAATTATATTATTTCTTCATTTTAAAGTGATATTTGGATAATATTGATTTAGTGATGAAAGATTTTAATTGAAATAGTATGTTGATTATCGTTATCCTAATAAATTAAGGTTGATAAAGAAGTATATGAATATTTTGAAACGAAAAAAAATATATATTGGTATAAATATTTTTTGTGAAATAACTATTTTATTTTATTTAATTTTGTTTTATTACAATAGAGAACAATGAAATTTAAAGTTAAAACGTCTATAGTCCATAAAAGTAGGGATAATAATGAGGTAAAAAATCGGTATTCCAAGAAAAGAGAAAAACGTTAATCAGTGAATATGCAAATTTTTTTTTTTTTCCGAAGGTAACAAAACATAAATAACATAAATTAATTCAGTTATTTTGACCAATTTGATATAAAAGAAGGTCAGTATATTAATTAATAAATAAATATAATATTTTACACTTATCAGTTATAATTTAATCCATGATTTTTTAACTTAAAATAAAAGTATGGAAATACTATCACAAAATTAAAATTTTATTATAAAAATGATTTATTTGATATAAGAAATTTGGGAAAATTATTGTCAGTTTGGAATTTTAAATCAAAAATTATAAAGAGTTTATTTAAATTGTAGTGGAAACCTTATATTGCAGCAGATAATTCATCAACAATTATTAAACCTCTTAGCTTACAACAGATTAAGATGAAATATTTTTTCTTTTAGAATTTCATTTAAGATGATCCGTTTGATGGCTGGTCAGCCCTTATTTCTTAAAAAAGATTTCTAATAGTTTATCTATTTTGCAGCAATACTTAATTTTTTTAAGTTGGAATATGTTTATGACATTATTAATATATAAATAAATAAACAAGACTGCATTATTAAAAAATAGAATGATTATCTTAAAAAATTAGGTATGCAAATGTGATTGCAAAATCACAATATCCTTTTACTGGTTAATAAAGAAATAAATGCAAGTATTAATTAACCAATGTGATTATCCGTTTTTTATCAAAAAATTTGATTACCTGTGCTATTCTTCATGTTCACCAATCACCACCAAAGCTTCTCATCTTTTCGATTATTTTTTAACCAATGACGTTTAATAAAAGTACTTATTGAAAGAAAAGATCAATCATTTAGAAAGTATATTTGTAAATTCTCTTTTTGTTTTCCGAAAATTCACTTTACGTACCAATATAATAAATATTTTTGGACAAACCAAGTTTCCTCATTTTAAACGCTTTCTCTTTTTTTGTAACAAGTAATAAGACAATACTACGAACTGTATGAGACATTATTATATTATGATAAAGTAATTAATATATGGTAATTTGACCTTTAAAAAAAAATAAACAAACTTTAGCAAGAATTACTGTGTGAATAATGTGTTGACCTTTTGCGTGTCGGTACTTTATATGAATAGATATTAGATACTTTATTTCTTGTGCCACGCCGCAACCCGCAGCCGTCGAAACCGAAATTACTTGTCAGACTTTTCCATATGCCAACCTTTTTACTTCATAACAAAATTTGCAAAGAGCAACTATTGTACTGGCGCTTGATACTCTCAAAAGAAATAAAAGAGTTAAAAGTTAAAACTAATTAATTCTTGTCTTTTTTTTCACTTTTATAAGCTAACGATCAACAAGAAAGTTGTATTTTTATAATTTAGTGACATCATCAACATTTCGGACGCTCTAACGGGTTTCTGTTGCCTAATTAATTTAATTAAATATATCTGGCTGAAAATTGGTATCTGCGTTTTGCATAGATAATATTACACAAACAACTATATATACTCGAATAAAGGCGTTTAATTGTATTTACTCTATTTTTTAGGAAGAATTCCGATAAAATTATTTAGTAATGGGTCAAAGTAACGATAAAGGTAAAAGCATATAACATGAATATAGATATCTAATACAAATTGAAATTGCTCTAAAATAAATTTGCAATATAATGAAACTAGTTTCAAAAACTGAGAAAGATGAAGGTAAGAAAATTATTTAACTGCTTGTAAATTATATTTAAATTTTTGAACTATTTCTAAAAATTATTTCACTATATTAGCTCGTAAGTAATAGGTTATCTTATAATCGGAATGATAATTAAATTACTTACTTCTATTATTTTATATAACCAAAATACCAAATAATTTATTTTATTATTAATATTATTATAGTTGGTAAGTTAATAGCTATTTTTTTTTATTGTATTTTACATAATATTTTAAATAACTAAATTTTCAATTAATATAACAGAAAGTAAGTATTTAATTTTTATTATTAATTTAAAAGTATTTATATATAATTTAAACTAATAATATTATTTATTTAAATAATTAGATTGTAAGTTACTGCATATACTTAATTTTTATATACAATTATAATATTTTATTTAACTGATTATAATTACTTCACTTTATAATTATTATTAATTAATAATGCTACAGGGTGTAAGTTATTTGTTTTATTTATATAATATTTACATATAATTTAAACTAACTAAATTCTTTATTCAAATTATGCAAATATTTTAGATCGTAAGTAATTTATTATATTTATATGATATTCACATATAATTTAAACTAACTAAAATTCTTTATTCATGTAATTTCTTTTAGTTGGTAAGTTATAAGTTATTTATTTAATTCTATTATATTTATATAATATTTATATATAATTTAAACTAACTAAATTCTTTATTTAAAAAATTATTCAAATATTTTAGAACGTAAGTAATTCTATTATATTTATATAATATTTACATATAATTTAAACTAACTAAATTCTTTATTTAAAAAATTATTTATTTAATAATATAGGGTGTAAGTTATTTATTTAATTCTATTATATTTATATAATATTTACATATAATTTAAACTAACTAAATTCTTTATTTAAAAAATTATTCATTTAATAATATAGGGAGTAAGTTATTTATTTAATTCTATTATATTTATATAATATTTACATATAATTTAAACTAACTAAATTCTTTATTTAAAAAATTATTTTGAATTTCTTTTAGTTGGTAAGGTGTAAGTTATTTATTTAATTCTATTATATTTATATAATATTTACATATAATTTAAACTAACTAAATTCTTTATTTAAAAAATTATTCAAATATTTTAGATCGTAAGTAATTCTATTATATTTATATAATATTTACATATAATTTAAACTAACTAAATTCTTTATTTAAAAAATTATTTATTTAATAATATAGGGAGTATGTTATTTATTTAATTCTATTATATTTATATAATATTTACATATAATTTAAACTAACTAAATTCTTTATTTAAAAAATTATTTATTTAATAATATAGGGAGTATGTTATTTATTTAATTCTATTATATTTATATAATATTTACATATAATTTAAACTAACTAAATTCTTTATTTAAAAAATTATTTATTTAATAATATAGGGAGTAAGTTATTTATTTAATTCTATTATATTTATATAATATTTACATATAATTTAAACTAACTAAATTCTTTATTTAAAAAATTATTTATTTAATAATATAGGGTGTAAGTTATTTATTTAATTCTATTATATTTATATAATATTTACATATAATTTAAACTAACTAAATTCTTTATTTAAAAAATTATTCAAATATTTTAGATCGTAAGTAATTCTATTATATTTATATAATATTTACATATAATTTAAACTAACTAAATTCTTTATTTAAAAAATTATTCAAATATTTTAGATCGTAAGTAATTCTATTATATTTATATAATATTTACATATAATTTAAACTAACTAAATTCTTTATTTAAAAAATTATTCAAATATTTTAGAACGTAAGTAATTCTATTATATTTATATAATATTTACATATAATTTAAACTAACTAAATTCTTTATTTAAAAAATTATTCAAATATTTTAGAACGTAAGTAATTCTATTATATTTATATAATATTTACATATAATTTAAACTAACTAAATTCTTTATTTAAAAAATTATTCAAATATTTTAGAACGTAAGTAATTCTATTATATTTATATAATATTTACATATAATTTAAACTAACTAAATTCTTTATTTAAAAAATTATTCAAATATTTTAGATCGTAAGTAATTCTATTAATATTTACATATAAAATTTAAACTAACTAAACTCTTTATTTAAAAAATTATTCAAATATTTTAGAACGTAAGTAATTCTATTATATTTATTATAAGAAAAGAAAATTTCTAAGTTTACACGGGGTGTTTGTACACGGGTCATATAAATATAATTTTTAATAGACTAATTTTTTGTGTTTTAATTTGAAATTGAATGCTACCGACATTATACTCTTTTACTTTATATTCTTATTATATTACAGATAAATATATGTATTTTCACCTGCTCTGCAAGTTTACTTAAGGCATTAAAGAAGGTTTTGAATGCCGTTTTTAATATACTAATATGACCCGTGTTTAAACACCCCGTGTACAAATAGAAATTGCCTTATTATAAATATTTACATATAATTTAAACTAACTAAATTATTTATTTAAAAAATTATTTAAAATATTTTAGCCTGTAAGTTTTGCATTTTTTAATTATAATAGAATTTTTCTAACTATCACCGGGGGTGATGATCACCGATGACTGAAATTATGACGATCGACCAGCATTAAAAAAATAGTGCCAGTAAAATTTGTTAATTCTGGCCAACGGTGATGATCACCCCCGGTGATTTGAAGTAAAAAACATTATAATAATCTTATATTTTTTGTATTTAATTTATTATAATTATATAATATTTACTCATAATAATTAAATTTTTTTAGTTGGTAAATTATAAGTTATTATATACTATTTATTTAAAATTTAAATTAATTATTTATTTATTATATTAAATTTTTATAATTTTATTTAGAGTAAGTATAATAAATATTGTTTAATATTTAAATTTTAATTGTAAATTTTTTATTTTAAATTTTAATTTTTAATACAACTTCATTTTATATTTAAAGATTTGGTACTAGTGGAAGTAAAATTGTGGATCAATTGATTTCCAAAAATGATTTAAAATGGATTCCTTATGATAAATTTGAAAATATTGAATATCTTGATAAAGGAGGATTTGGTACTATATATAAAGCTAAATTTAGTAATATTGAAGTAATTTTTAAATATTTTGATTATCTTAATAATTCAGATGAAAGTTTAAATGAATTTTTAAATGAAGTATGATTAAATATTATCTTTTTTTTAATATTATAATTTATTTATACTAATTTGCTAATAAATATTATTTTTTATAGTGGAAAATTATTGATTCAAATGAAATTATTAGAATATATGGATTTACAAAGGATCCAGACACTTTGAATTATGTATTAATAATGGAGTATACAAATAAGAATAGTTTAAAAAGATGTTTAACAGAAATAACAAAAAATTGGAAACAAAAATTATTTTGTTTATATCAAATTATTAAGGGTCTTTATATTATTCATGAAAAAGATCTTATTCATTATAACATTCATAATGGTAATATTTTATGTAACGAATATGAAGGAAATATATATGGGATTTTTATTAGTGATTATTTAGGATTATATCAACTTGCAAAATCTTTTTTAAAAGAAAATGATATCTATGGAGTTCTACCATTCATAGCACCTGAAATTTTAAGAGGTCAACCTTACACTCAAGCTAGTGATATATATAGTTTTTCTATAATTATGTGGGAATTTACATCTAAAATATCACCATTTAATGATAAAGCACATGATCTTCAACTTGCTTTAAGTATTTGTAAAGGTGAACGTCCTAAAATTATTGAAAATACTCCACAATTTTATGTAGATTTAATGAAAAAATGCTGGGATGAAGATCCATTAAAAAGACCATCTTCTAAAGAAGTTTTAGATATTATTAAAAATTGGATTTTTTATCCTCGGGATAAGAAAATTGAAGATATTAATGAAGAATTAAAAAGCAATATTATGGAATTTATAAATGCACCAATTGAGAACAATAACCTTATTGTTGTAGAATCTCATCCAAAAGCATGCTATACAAGTCATTTACTTGATTTTACTAGTAAAGAATTAAATGAAACTCTAATTCTAGAAGGTTCTCAAGGATTTCTTGAACCAAAACAAAAATATCAAAGTTCTCAAAACGAATTACAAAATATTCAAATGGAATTAGTTAATTTACAACAAAACTCACCTTTACAAAATGAAGAATTGGCAAAAAAAGAAAGTACTTTACAAATCCAAATTACAAACCTGAAAAGTGAAAAACAAGCTTTAGATGGCAAGTTGACTGAACAGTTAAAACAAAACAGTCAGTTAAATCAAGAAAAAAATATTCTGCAAGATAAATTAGTCCAAACAGAAACCATTATTCAAGAATTAAAATCTCAGCAAAATCAATTTAAAAATCAATTAATTCAAATAGAAGAAGAAAATTTTAAATTAGAAAAAATTGCTGAAACTTATTATCAAAGTTCTCAAAATGAGTTAATTAATTTACAACAAAGAAATTCTCAATTTAAAAAACAATTAATTCAAACAGAAGAAGAAAATTTTAAGTTAAAGAATGAATTATTTGATTTACAACAAAGGAATTTTACATTTGAACAAAATAATAATCAAAATCTGAGACTTAATTTAGCTAAACAGATTAAAAAATTTGCAGAAAAAGAAAATATTTTACAAACCCAAATTATTGACATGCAAAATGAAAAGCAAAACTTAGCTGGCAATTTAATCAATTTAACTGAACAGTTAGAACAAAATGAACTCATTAACCAGCAAGTTCAAGGCCAAATCAGCCAGTTAAAGCAAGATGAAACTAAATTGCAAGAAAAATTAGCTCAAATAGAAGCTAATATTCAAGAATCAAAATCTCACAAAGAAAGTTTAATTGAACAAAAAAAGCAATTAGAAAATAGTTTAAATCAGTTTCAAGTTAATTATAAACAAACAAAACAAGAAAGAATCAAGTTGCAAAATATGGTGAGTGATCTTTTACAAGATCAAAAGCTTACTACTGAATTGAAAGCCAAGTTAGAAAAGGAAATTGCTCAATTGGAACAAAAATTAATCATTGAAGAACAAATCAAAATGCAATTAACTCAAGCTTTACAGATTAAAGAAGATAAAATAAATGAATTGGAACAAAGACTGATTAACCTTGATCAAGAGCGTATTAAAAAGTTACAAGATAAAAAAAAAGAAATTGAAAAAGAATCATTAAATAAATTAACTAGTGGAAAAAATACTGAGGAAGTTCATAAAGAAAAAGAAGCTAAACTTAAAGAGATGGATGAACTTCAACAAGAATTATCAAGAACTTCAGCTTCTTATAATGCCAATAGAAAAAAACAGGTTCTCAATCAAGTCAATAATTTTCTGAAAGTTAAAGGTGATTTCCTAACTTTACGAGAAGAAGCCATTAAAAAACTACAAAATTGCTGTAATCATTTAGAAAGTTCTATTAATAAGGAAAGAAATATTATTGGTTCTATCAGAGATATGAAAACCTCTAAATTGACTGACAAATATACTAAAGAATTTCAAAGTATTCTTGTAAAATATAATGATGGATTATTAGAGTTGAACAAAAATTATTATTCCTTAAAGAAAATTGTTCAAGAAAATAAAAAGTTGGAAGTTTGCCTTATGATTGAAAATATTCTTAAGCTGAATTCTTTTAATCTTGATAAATACAAAATTTTTAAATTTGCTACTAATTCTCAGGAAGGAACCAGAATTCAATTAAATTCTAATATGATGGCAGAAGATATAAATTCATTGAGAAAAAATTTGAATGAATTGAAATTAGAATTAGACCAAGAAAAAAAAGAACTAAAAATTTAGCAACAGTTTAGATTTAATCATATTGATGGATTATAGTAAAGTTTATAAATAGCTATTGATTCATCATTGAAATGAAATTAAGTATTGTATTTAGCAAAATATATGAATTTATATTCTAGAATTTATTGAACATTATAACATAGTTATAGGAATTTTGAGATTTTTTTATTAAATTATAACTGTATTTTTATATATTTTTTTTGTTTCGTTTATTCAATAAAGGATCATTAAACTTTTTTGAAAGTTCTTTATATAAGTCATTTAAATAACCATTTATATTGTAAATGTATTATACTTATATTTAAATTAATTTCTGAAAAGTCAATTTAAAAAAAATAATCAATATCAATCCACCAATGTAAAATTAGTTAATATGTTTATTTAAAAGTATTATTATAAAGATATACTTGATAAGAAAGTTTTACATATGGCTTTAATAATATTTTTAAATTAAAGTGCAATAGATTTTTTGATAAATAATTTTCTTGTTGAATCTTGTCAAAAACTATAATTGATTTTCCATAAAAGCCTTCCTTGCATTTGGCCTAAAATTTTCATACTTGTTTAATAATAATGTAAATAAAAAGTATAGTTTGTACTAGGGATGATAACGGTCAGTTATGGTCAGTTATGGTTGGTCATAATCGGTTATAGCAATTTAAACGCTAAGTTATGGTCGACTAAAAATTGGTTAAATGGTAGGTTATACCATTTTACTTAAATAATTGGTTAAATAGTCGGTTAAATGGTTAAAAATGGTTGGTCAAATGTTAAATGGTCAGTTAAATGGTTATGATCATAACCGTTGCCATCCCCATTTCGCCAAAGCTATTTCTCCGAATGGACATTTGCTGAAACATTATTGTTTTTATACTAAATACATGAAAAAATCTTTTCTAAAAAAATTTGTGAATTAGCTAATTTTTATTAAATTTATCTTGTTGTTTATAATATATTACAGCAAATTTCAAAATATACGGGACACTTGAGAAATTTGATTGTCGGGTTGTCAGGTAGCAAGGTTACTCGGCAGTAGGTTATTATATAATCTGATATAATACTATTCATTATACTCGTCACGTGTTATTTATACTTTTCTAATAAACAACCTACTGCCGAGTAACCCGGCTACCCGACAACCTGACAATCAAATTTCTCAAGTATCCCGTATATTTTGAAATTTGCTGTAATCATTTTTTACTGAATAAATGTTTTCAGAAAAATAAAGTTATTTATTTATTGCTTAACAATTAATATCAGCACTCGGCAGTTACTTAAATTTTAAAGTAATAATACCATAGAAGAAAAGATACTTAAAAATAAAAAGAATTTTTTGTTTGAACATTTATTTACTTTTTATTTTTATTGCAAAAATAGGATAATGGTGTAGTTAGCCAAAAAATTCAGCCGAAGGCGCAGTAAATTTTCGGCTAACAACATCCAGCCGAAAAAAATTCATGTTGATTTAGAATATTTTATTGGTTCAACATCTAACTATTTTCGGCTGAATATTTTCGGCTAAATACACTTTTTTTAAATAATAGTGTAGTTAGCCGAAATATCAAAATAGCAAACAATATGAAATAATGACAAAATTTTATTTATTATAGAAAACAAGAAGTACATAACATTTACTATACTTATTTTTGGACAGTGCATTATTATTTTTTATTAAATAAAACTACAAAATATTTATTATTTTAACTCATTTATTTCTGTCCAATCATACTTTAATATTAGATTTTTAGTAATTTAATTGTAAAAAAGAAATATTTTTAATATTTAATTGTTCTTTAAATTAATGAATAGTTTATTTAACCATTAAAACTATAACAATACAATTATACAAATAAAATAAAAAAGGGACATTTTTTTAAGGGATTTGAATTGTATTTGAAAATATACATACATTATTTTATTTTTTTAAAATATTTTTTGTTTTAATTTAAAGTCTTATATTATTCACTATCTTTGACAAATTATAAGTTTTTTGCATTATTTTTTATTTTTGATATACTAATTTTTAGCTAAGATCCAACTCAAAAAACAAAAGACATTTGAAAAAATATTTCAAAAAACACTTAGAGACTGACAAGAAGTTATATATTTCATATTTAGTTTGGAGATTATTTTGTATATATACGATGTTACATTTTACCTGAAATTTTCAATTTAACAAATTTTAGGCCAGAATTAAGAAAATTTCGGCCAGAATTATGGATTCGAAAATCATTAATTTAGCCAATTAAACAATTTTAAATTGATTTTAAACTTTGCAAATGTATTATATATTTGAAGAGGGTGCTATTGCCATAATAAAGTGAATTAGGAGGTTACATGAGCAATGACTGCTATTTGGATATTTCGGCTAACTACACTATTATTTAAAAAAAGTGTATTTAGCCGAAAATATTCAGCCGAAAATAGTAGATGTTGAATCAATCATAAAATATTCAAAATCAACATGAATTTTTTTCGGCTGGGTGTTGTTAGCCGAAAATTTACTGCGCCTTCGGCTGAATTTTTCGGCTAACTACACCATTATAAAAATTAGGTGTCGGGGCAAAAGAATGTAAAATAGAAACTATAAAATGAAAATATTAAAGTACACAAGTAAGAATCGAAGATATTATTCAACGTCTAAGTTTTATTTTACACATTTGTCATTTGCCGGGTCAGGATGATCTGCAATCAGGAATTCAGCTCCGTTTTTCAGCTAACTACACCATTATAGGTTTACAACTGGTTTACAGCTGATTTCATAATATACGGGACACCCATCATTTTTACTCCATGCCGAGAGAAACTCGGTAAGATTCGGTATAACTCAGAATAAAATAAAAACTACACCACTGTTCTCGGACCAGTGCTCCAAATCTAACGATATGGTTTTACCTTATTCTGAACTTTACCAAGTTTTACCGAATGTACCGAGTTGTCTCTCGGTAAACTATTAGGTGTCCCGTACAGCTGTAATAATCAGATGTAATTTAATAAATAAATAAAAAAAAAAAATTTTATTTTAATTGCGCGATTAATATTTTTATAAAAGTGATAATCGCTATCATTTCTATCATTTTCGGCGAAATGGCTTTGGCGAAACGCCCCTTTGGCGAAACGTCCCTTCGGTGAAATGGCTTCTACCGTAACCCTTTTAAACTACTTATTTGGTCATAATATTTACTATATATATATATATTTTTGATCGGCTTTCAGTTAACGAAAAAGGTTTAACGGCCAGTAAAAACAGAATTTTTTTTTTTTTGAAACAGATTATTTTATATTTTAATAAAATGCATAAATGATTGATGAGAGGATACACCGTTAAACCAATTTTCTTGTAACATTCTGCAATGATGATATGCTAACAGCCCTGTAAAAAATCTGATCCGTGTTTTACCTTTCCATGTTTTTTTCCGTGAATGTATCATTTTAATGGAATTTATAGCCTTAAATCATGGAAATTTTCATCTCGCTAACACGGATATCCGTGAATGTATCATTTTCACAGAATTTTACGGAAGACACGGAGAAATAATGGAAATATTTGGATAAAATTTTTTATAGGGCAGACCCGAGAAATAACGTTATTTCTATCGCCTTTCCGATATCATACCTATTGATACTTCAAGATTTTTAATCCTATCAGCCCAAATTTTATTTGAATAGATTATATAAAATTTGTTAAAAGTTATGAACTTATGGTTTTTTGATCATATCATTTTCATTAGTGAATGTTACACTGATAAACCCGGATTTTCGTTAATTCTGGCCAAATTGGCCAAATTGGGATTAAGATTTTGTCAGGATCTTGAGTATCGGAATTAGAATGTCGGAATATTGTACCATGAACTTCTGGATTTCCGCTGGAAAACGGAATACAACTAAATTAATATATTTCAGGGGCTTGTATTAAATAAGGAAATAGATAATGGGTAAATGATTGACAAAGATCATCAAATTGTTGCGTCAATTTTAATGACAATCTCACGGCATAAATATTATTATTTATGTGAATTTATGAATTTTTATTATTTTACTTTATACAGTATATTTTAAATGTTTACAAGGTTGATTTTTGACATATTTTACTAATGGAACGGATGGTTCCATTATATCGAATTTCACTGTGTATTTGCCGAAAATACAATATATTTTATATGATCTACATTATCACGTACTAATTATTTCTTCTATTCTTTATTAAAAAAAAATAAATAAATAAATAAAATAAAAATAACTGGTTTTAAAAACACTAAAAATAATGAAATAATAAATTTTTAAACAATATGACGTAAAAAATGAGAATTCCGATCCGGGCAGGGCCGGGACTTGGGCTCGGCATATATTCATAATTAGTTCCGGGCCGAGCCGGGTTTCAAGTAATTATGGCCAAATGCCCAATTTAGGAATGTGTTTCTATTTGGCTGAAAATCACAAACATTTTAACCTTAATAGTGTTAACCTTTTTTGTCAGTAATGACAATTATTATTATCAAGATAATTTTGGATTTTGAATGTTCTAAGAATTAGGTAGAAATGTTATAATGTATTTGTTTGTTTTCGTCATTTTAACGTTATTTGGGCATAATTGGTGTATTTATTTATTGTTTTATTTCCTATTCTGAAGATAAATTAATGACGTTATACAAGAGTCACGTGACTCAACGTGCCAAGTGTGCCAAATGCGCCATTTTTGATTTGTACGATTTTCTACGATTTGTACGAATTGTAGGGGCGTCAGACTTTCGTCACATGCAGATCATAAGCATTTTTTCTGAATATAGCAATTTTGCCAATTGTCGGCATTGAATATGATGTAATAATTTCTGTTACACATCCCTTTAATATTGTTCGAATCCATTAAATGCATAAGCTTGATTTTTCTTGAATACTATTACTCTCTCTCCCTAAATTTTCCCATTATTTTTTTTTTTTAATATAATTCAACTTTTCTCTTTAAAATTATTTTAATCATCCATTACATTGTGAAAAAAAAATGGCCACAGACTCTGGTTACGTCGGTAGCAGTACCGGTTTTAAAAATCGAAACTCTTATATTCAATGGACTCCACAACATTCATTATCGTTGAATGATTCTTTTATTTCCAAATCAATGTCGAAACATCTTCACTCTACAACACGTAGGATTTTCATAGGTCCGACTCCCACAAATTGGTCGTACAAAAAAAGTTCTTTTTGGTTTTCTAAAAGTGAACAAGCTACTCACCATAAAGGTCCTAATAGACAAAGAACGTTTAGAGCCGAACCTGAAGTTAAAGGTCCTACAAATATGTCTTCGTTGGATTTCTATGAAATTCCCGATAATCAAAAGTATTTATATTTTTTTTTTAATTAATTTGAATTTTTTAAGTGAGATAGCGTGAGAAAAAAAAAAAAAAATTATGTATATAATAATATTTTAATAATTAAAATTTTATTATTTTTTTTTTTTTCTTCCAAGTTCTGAAGCTTTACCTCAAATTACGGATGCGCCTTTCTTAGTTTCCGAACCTGAAGAAATTCTGGCTGATCATGATAATGGGTGTAATGGTTCTTTGTTCAGTAATGAAATATTTTATACACCAAATGAAGAGTTACGTTCATATCCTAATACACCTTCACATCGTCACTTTATGAAAGATTCTGAATTTTTTGGTACAAATTATATGTTAGATGTTTTTAAGCAACAATCTCATGATACTCCAAGGTCAAATGAAAATGTTAACGAAGAAACAGATCCAAATCATGTTCATGATAGTAATATTGAAATCAATGATGTTCGTGAAAATGATGTAGAGAATGCTAAATCCCTTAACGATGATAATGCAATTTCTAGTAATATGGGTAATTTAGAAGCTAAATCTATATCACATCCTATATGTGAACCTGAAATGATTATTAAAGAAGATCGCATGTTAATTAGAGTAGAGCGCTTGAATAATCATGAAACAATACGGCGGTACGGTGGTCCTTTTTTAAGGAGACATCCTCCTAGAAAATATTTAACTCATTCATCAGGTTGGAGAGAATACATTGTTAAACTACGTTCAGGAATAATAGAACTATACGAAGATGATGTATGATGCTTTAATTTTTTTTTTTTTTAATAAGAAATGATTTATTTTATTATTCTGTTAAATTTATTAAATTTTATTTATTTAGAAAACTCGAGTTGATAAAATGAGGTTCAACAAACCAATACGGTTGACGCTTTTTTCAGCAGTTGATTGTACCATTGCACTTAAGCAAAAATCTAAATCTAAAACAAAACTTTTTTTAATAAACCCAAAGACTGTAGAACAAAGTATTGAATGGTATCGTTCATTATATGTTACACTCGGCGAGCCATCAGTCAAACCAATGCCTTCATCGTGTGAAGTATATATACCAGATCTGGATGTTCACGTAAAAATTCCATTAGAGAATTTTCAAGCTTATCAAATCACGGCAGAGGAAGTTACTAAATTAGTTTTAGATGAATTGAGCGGCGAACCGGAATGGGAAGATATATTAAATGAATGGCTAAAATCTTGTGATTTGAGATTATGTTGGAAGAGATATGATCAATTAGAGTGGATTGTTTGGGAGAAAAACGAGGAAGGGAAGGTTAGAAATGATTTATTGGCTTGTCCACAATTTATTGAAGGGGTAAATATAGAAAGTGTAATTAAAAAAAAAAATTATTTTATTAAAAAAGAAAATTAACTATTATTAATTTTTAGACTCATCAGCTTCAATTACGTCCAACTGAACATTATCCGACTTTTGTTTATTTACGTGATGGAACGAAATTATTTGTTTGTATTAAGATTTTTTTTTTATTTTCTTCGTTTACGTGAATGAAAAAGTTATAACTGTTGAACATTATGTGTTAATCCATAGGAACCTCCACCAGTAGAAGGATACCTTATTCGAGTTACAAATAATAAGGGAAAATGGAAACCAAAAAGATTATATTTTACTTCTCATGATAATTATCTTTTTTTTCTAAAACCATTCGCAACAAGTCCTCCACCACAACCAACTTCTTCAATTTCAAATGATGAAGGAAGTCAAATTGTTCAACCATTGATATATGCTGTCGCACCACAATCTCAAGAACAATGTGCACAAACTGATGCTTTCATGAGAGCCGATACAAAAAGACGTATAAAGCAAATCATAAATGCTATTGCATTTATAAATCTGGTTGATGTGGCGGAGGTGAAGAGTGTTGAAGAAATTTATGGAGTTACGGAAATGGAGAATCACGGATGTCCTTTCCAATTAGTTTTAAATAATGGTAGAAGTGTTGTTTTACAGGTGAGGAAAGAGACTTTGAATAAAAATTTATGGCCTAAATATTTTATTTTTTGATTTAATATTATTTAATTTTATAAATAGGCTTATAATAGACAAACCATGCTTGAATGGATTAAACGATTGAAAGAACTCATAAAATATTGGAAAGCCCGAAAAGTATCAGATGTCCAATTACGAATTAATATGGCCAAAGTGAATGAGAATAATGATTATGAAGATGATGATAGTCACAGTCTAAATGAATTACATAGTCATTGGAATAATTTTCAAACTTATGTAAATCCAACAATATGGCATTGGTGTATTCTAAATGGATGTCGTGGAATTACTGTAAGACAAAATTTTATTTGTATTATAAAGTGGAGAAAGATATGTAATAACTCTTTAATTAACTATTTAACTTGAACGTATTTCTTTTTTTTATAGAAAGGAGGTTTATTATATCGAAAATCACATCTTCATGGCACATTCCGAAATTATCATTATATTCTCACAAGAGGACGTTTAATATGCTATAATTTATATACGCGTAATTTAATAAATGGTGTATCAAAACAACGATGCTATCATAAACGTTATGAAAATATTAATTTAGCGGATTGTTACGTATATTCTGGAAAGGTAACAGAAAATGATTTACTTTATTCGAGTACATCAAAATTTAATGCCAGAAGTAACGGAATACATAGACTACCGAGAATATATCCCGATGGTATGCATTGTTTTGATAATGATGAAGATTGCACTTTTGTTATATGGCAAGGAGAACAATCACTTTATATTGGGAAGGATAAAAAAGAAAAGGGAAATGTTATTTGTTTTAAAAAGAAGACAAGGTTAAATAATCCTGGAAAAATTCGGGTTTTTAGAACTAGAAGTAAAATTGAGAGAGAGGAATGGGTTTGGGCTATTAATGTGGAAATTGAAAGGGCTTGTAAAGAAAGGGAAATGAAATGATAAATTTATTAAATTTTTTTTTGGACATTAGTAACTTTTTAAAATTATGGGAAAAAAAATGTATTCGACTTTGTATTACGGTAAAGAATCGTTATTACGTAATTAAGCAAAATTATTTGTAATAAAGTAATATTTTTTTAAGCTATACGGGAAACATATATGAATTATGTGAAGTTAACTTTAAAATGATTGATCAATACAAAACTGTAAAAATGAATTTACCTCTGATTTTGATATATTGGATATATGTAAATTTTTTCGAGAGAATAAATATATCGTGTATAATTCTCGTAAATATTTTAGTAATAAAAATTTACGTATATTTATATATCTTAAACGTTAAAACAAAAAAAAAAATTCTGTAGTTTTATTTAAAAATCTAGTTTTGCTGGATATTTTTTTCATTTTTTTCTTTCTTCTAATTCGGTAAAAATATTGCTTCGTTCTTTCTTTTTTTTTAAAAAAAAAAATAAAAATAAAAAATAAAAAATAAAAAAAATATATAATACAGTATTTAAAGATACGATCACTAGTCTAATTTTTCATCAATAATCAAATAATCAAATTAAAATAATTATTAAAGCCATACGTAACATGTAATTCATTTCTTCATCTTCGATTGCGTTAGATATAAAAAATTCGGTTCTTCATATAAAAAGAAAAAATCTGTACCCGATAAATCTAATTTAATAAATATTATTATAAATTTTCATCTTACTAATTTCTTAAATCAAAAATGCATTATTTGACATTCTAATCTTAGATATCAATAATAATTTAATCTCATAATATTGTGATTACGTTAAATAAAGAAAAAAAAGTTTTAGCGGGATCTAAAATTTTATGCCGTGAAACATTATATATCATAAATTTTAGATAAATTCGTCAATTATCAGTTCTCTGACACGTGAAATGTCATTAAGGCATGTTTATTTTTAAAAGTATCGAAGTCTAACATTTTATATTTGAAAAAAATAGAAATATACGCTAATAAGTTAAGTTCCTTCAAAAGTTTGAATTATCAATCACGTGATTCTTCTATCTAAAACCTGTCCAAATTATCCTCGAATATTCCAATTTAGTTTGATTTGAGTTTGGGTTACATTAATATCAATTCATAATTCAATTACTGCTAATTAATATCAATTAATTTCTGTATCATTAAGTAAAAAAGATAGTGAAAATATATTATATTTTGAATAATACTGTAATTATTCAAATTAAAATAAAACAAAAATAAAACGAAAAATAAAAATATTAATTCGGTTGTTCAACGAATGATTTTTTTTACGCCGAATATTATACATAACAACTAAACTAGGACAAGAACCTAATCGAAATCGTTCCTTATCAAAAAAAAACTAGTATAACTCTATTTCGACGCGATATTTTTGACCATTATAAAAACGAATTTATAAGCTTAAAAAAAAAATGTCAGAAATTCAAGCGAAGTTAAAAGTTAATTATGTATAATGATTATGAAGATGAAAAGAATATATGAATTGCGTATACAGTACCAATCTATAATTGAATTACCGGTTCTTTTTTCTTTATGTGTTCATAGTGAATAATATTAATATAAACTGATTGAATCGTTCGATTATCCAGATATATCGAAAAACTTAATAGCAGAATATGCAATTTTAATAATACCACTAGCAGCTTATTTGAGTGCGATCAGTCTTATACACATGTACAATTTCAACAAATGATAGTATGATATTATGACGATTGTGATGATTTTCGTTGTCACGCGTAATACCAGTCAAATGTTCTTAATTCAACTAGAATATGCGATTTGCTGGGGGACTTCGTCCCCCAAATATAACATTTATAATTAAAAAAATTCTTTGATATAAATAAATTGAATTGTTACTGAATAATAAAATTTTATTATAATTAGACCCTATAAAAAATCATGTTTTAATAAGATTTATACAATTTTTTCTTAAAAATAATGTATCTAAACTATATATAAGGATATAGGAAAATGCACAATTCCATATCACAAAAATGCACCATGTGTATGATTGACCATAATTTATACTGAATTTATATTGATTTGATCAAAGAAATTACATAATTTGAGCATAGAATTTACAAGAATTGGTCAATAAATTTACTGCTTAAATTATAATTATTAATATTAGTTGCATTTATATGAATTTAATTTTAAATAATAATATTTTATTAAATTATTAAATCAAATAGTATCATGTGATTATAATTAGCCAATAATATAAATTAATATTTATAATTTAAAATAATGACATAAGCTATAATAAGTGTTCTAAAGTTAATACAGCTACAAAAAAATGAAATCTTATGAAAACTAATATTCAAGTAGTTTCAACTTGCCTGAACAACTTTAATAAAGTTGATTTCATTTGCCCAAAGTGGAAATATTACGCTCTAAATTAAAAAACAGAAAAGAGAGTTAATATCATCAAGAAATGCAATTTTCTCTAAGCACTATACCTATATTCATGAAAATTAATATTCAAGTGGTTTCAACATGCCTGAACAACTTTTAATTAATAAATGAAGTTGATTTCATTTGGCCAAAGTGGAGATTATAGTATATTTGGAAAAAGAAGTTTAATTTAAAAAAATTTTATATAAAAAATAAATGTAATATAAAAATTAAGAACTGAGATGATAAAAATTTGAAAATGACCTGACATAAATTTTTAATTAATTTTTTCATTAATTATAAATTCAAGTAGTTTAAAAATAAAAATAGTAAGAAAAAATATTTTTTATGAAATATCACATTATTTTCTAAAAGAAATACACTTAAATACACTTATAAATTTAATTAGTGATTATGTAATATCCAAATATTTAATCTTACAAATAGAAAAAAATGTAAAAAAATTTATAAAAAAAGAAAAATTTTTGAAAAAAAATTTCGTCTAACACTTTTTTATTTTGATTATCACAAGATCTACATGATCATCTACACGTTTCAATTTTTTTAACGAACAAGAAATATATTTGAATCTATTTTTGTTGAAAATCAATAAAGATCAACAAAATCAAATACAAATATAAAACTTATTGCTTGATGCCTCAAGTTAATATGTAGCGAAAGTGGCACAAAAATGAATATTTTGTGATTTTATTCTAATGATATCAAAGAAGCAATATTGCAATAACAACGTCTATAGCTATATAGCTATTGCAATTGCAATTGCAATTAGCAATATATATAGCTATATAAAATTGAATCAAAAAAGTTCACATTGAGCATTTCCGAAATTATGAAAAAATGCATGTAGATCGTATGACAAACTACAAATTAAGCGAAAAAGTGAATAAATTTGGAAGATGATCGTCAGAAATTTATCATCCAAAAGCATACTATCGCTAACAATATATACTGTACCTGGTCTGTATCATTCGTAAATAAACAAGTTTTTGCATAGAAAATTGTAACGAATTACATAACAAAATTATTTTTGAAATTTTACTTTTTGAAATGGTAAGCGCTAGTGTTCACATACGATTCCATTACTGTTGATATTTGGATGGTAGATTTTTGTTGTAAAGTCAATCTAGTATGGAGTATGGACATGTATACATAAGTATGTAATTAAAATATCACGAAATCGCATAAATAAAATATATCTTTGATGGTTTAAACGGTAAAATGGGTCTTTTAAGTATTTATATAAATCTAATATATAAGCTGGCTAAAAAGTATTTACGGAACCTAAAGTTTGCCGCTACCGTAGTACTTAAGTCCGTCAATTAATGACGTTGCCATTTTAAGCTACAAAATAATCCTTTATTAAATTCAATAAAATATTAATATATCCTGAGTTCCATAATAAAATAAATCAATACATATAACAAAAGTTTTAACGAAATATTTCTAATTTATTTTCCCCATAACTCAAATTCAAAAAAAAACTAAGATTCGATAGTCTCCCCTATTTAGTAATTCCATTAAAAACCATCAATCAAAATAATTAATATGGCACTTTTTCATCATAAGAAAAAGGTAAAAAGAATCGAATATTTTAAAAAGAAAGTAAATGTTGATTAATAACCATAATTAACGGGATAAACAGCCCCAAATAATTCATAAATAAAATTATAATTCTATTGATATTCAAATATAGTAATAATATTTTAAACGCCTCAAAAATTTCATATACCTAATTTAAATATTATACTGCGCCCACAATTAATAAATTCACTAGGTGATTTCGGCTCATCCGAGGTGGATCACGACCTAAATCACGTAATAAAACTGTGTAATATTCCATAATTCGTAATCGTCTCTTAAAACGTTTATGTTTAAAATTACGTAAAAAAAAATGCGACCGATATACAGAATGTTTATACTGTGTTTAAAAATAATAATATACTGTATGTGTATTATTTCCAGATAATTCGCTGTAATTAAAAAAGTCTGGTATATTTAAAGTTTGTTAAAATAATTTACACTCACATGAATGTTTAACCATTCAAATCCATAAAAATATTCAATTTTAATTAAACTTTGCAGCAAAAAAAGTAAAAATCATGATTATGAACGAGTGCAAACATTATTGTATAGACCAGTAACCATTTTTCGTAGGATATATAATATTTAGGTCTTACAAGCGAGACAGTACCATTTTTTAGTTTCATACAATAAATACTAGCAATAACTTTCTAATTATGGAACGTCATTAGTGAATTAATGAATAATGATGATTAAAAGACAGATTATAATGTATCCTTTATTTTATTATAACTCCAAGCTTTTATTATACTTTTTTCTGATTCATTTTTAATAAATATTAATCTATTTTTTTTTATTAAAATTAGGTGATGGCAATGGTTAACGGAGTATAACCAATGATCAATGTCGGCTGACTACTTGACCAACTGTTTGACCAATTAATATCTTGTATGTGTATATCTTATTGGATAGGAAGTAGCTACTACATCATTCACAGGACCGAGGGCCATGTAGTCTGGGTCATTTTTGACAATCAATGGAGGGCCAGTAACCGGTATAGCCTCGCTTCCAATAAAAGTGTTATCGTTCTGACGGTTTTTGATCATGCATTAATATAACATTATAAATAAGCTTATATTTAACTTTCTATAAATTCATTTTTATATTCATTTTTATGATATTGTTAATCTTTATAAGCTTTATTTAAACTTTTCCTATAAAAATTTTACACCATTTTTTTACTTCATCTTATTACATCAATCGTAATTATTGTTATGCTTAATAAAATATCTTTTTCAATTACATTTTCTTTATCTATCGATTCAACTTTATCATTTGAACCTTTTATTTTTGTTTCGCTTATGATTTCATTCATTTGATCCTTTATCTTTCTTTTTGTTTCGATTTGTTTCATTTGTTGGTCGTTTAATTTAATCATCCTTTCATTTATGTTTTTGTTTCAAGTTTTGAGATAATTTGCTATCAATATTTAATATAATTTCTCCATTTTAGAATTCAATAATTAAAATTCTTAAAAATTTTCGTAAAAACTTTAAAATTATTTTTTCGTTTATACATAGTAAAGTAAAAAAAATAAGTTATTAATAGATTAATTTGGCATTTCAATAGTACGTACTATATGCTAAATATTTTGCGTCAAAATAATGTTACTACTAATTTCCTGGGTAGTTTAGAGATAAAATTAATTTGCGTAAATGAAACAGCTAATAGCTAACCAATTTTTAATTTAATTTATTAAACCAAAATATTACATACAAAACCATAAATAATAACTAATATAAAAGACTAGTAATTTAATCAAATTAAATTCTTCATTCTTATAAAAAAGAAGAAAAATCATTCAATATTAATTTCTTCGTTTTGATTAATTTCATTAAAATCTAAAAATAAATAAATTAATAAGTATTAACAAAATAAAGAGAAAACTAAAGAGTAGATATCTTACCTGATTCGTCTAATTGACAATCAAAACATTCTGAATCTATAAATTAGCATAATATTAGGAATTTATTAATTATATTGGTTGCAAATAGAAATAATTACTTACGTAATGTTGTTTGAGTAGCGTCTATAAAAAAAGTCTATTAGTAATGTAAAACTTTTTTTTTTTGTTGTCAAAGTAAATTAAATTAAATTACCTGAATTTACTGGTTCCGGAAGATTTTTGAAATTTAAAAGTCTACTAGTATATATTGCTTGTGGATGTGTTTTAATGTTGTTAGATCTTTTTTCACTTGTTCGGTTTAATTTGATTTTATCATTATACTCATTTATTTGAGATTCATTATCACTATCATAACCATAATATTTAATTTTCTTAAGTTTTTGATACAATTCTTTAGCAGTCGGTCTATTTTCTGCTTTAGCATCCCAACACTTAGTAATCAAATCTGCAAGTAATTTTGGTGTATATTCAAAAATAATTGGTCTAAATCCTTTACATATGTTAATGGCTAAAGCATGATTATGTGGAATATTGTTATAAGGTGTTTCTTCAGATATATATTCATTCATCATTACTCCAAATGAATAAATATCAGATGCTTTTGTATATTGATATCCTCGTAAAACTTCTGGTGCCATATAAGGTAATACTCCATAAATTCCGTTCTTTTTTACTGATTGTTCATTATACGCTGGTTGACACATTCCTAAATCACTTATATATGGAGTATGAAAATTGTATAGTATATTACCTGAGTGAAAGTCTTTGTGAACCTTTCCAGAATTATGAATATCTAAAAGCCCACTTGCAATTCGCCTTAATACTTCAATTTTTGTAAAATAATTTGATTCATTATTCATATAGTAATTTCTCAAATTTCCATTTTCACAATATGCTAAAACCATTATATAATCCTTAGTATTTGGATCTTGGGTTATTCCATAACATTGAATAATGTCCCAAAGATAAATCTGAAGATGAGTTTTAATCTAAAAAAAAAATATTGAAAAGAAAGGAAATCTTAAAATAAATAAAAATTTTAGATAATTATATTACTATTTTTATAATTACCTCATTTAAAAATTCTGTGCTTATACAAGATGAATTATCCAAGCTTTTTAATGCAACTTTTATGTTATAGTATCTTTTCCATTTTTGATTTACAATATCCCAAGTAAAAATACATCCTTCAGGCCATTCAGCTGAATAAATTTTACCAAATCCACCTCTGGTAATATAAGTAATATCTTTAAACTTTTCAAAAGGTATCCATTCAATATAATTTCTATAATGTACAGCATTAAGTTGTAATTGTTGAATAAATTCATCAATATCTTTATTTCCACTAGTCCAATTTTTAAAGTTATTCTTAAATCTTTTAGCATTACAAGGTTGACACCATACTTCTCCTGTGCCAGGTTCATTACATTCTCCACATATTCCATATACTTGTTTTCTTTTTTCTAAATCTTTCATATAAATTATTTTATCATCTACCTCTTCTGCTGATTCAATATTTGAACCAATAGTAGAAATTGTTACATGTTTCTTTGAGATAAATGATTAAAAAAACAAATTATAAGATACAATAATTTAATCATATTACGATATGATAAAATGAATTGTTTACCTGATATTCATTATGATCAACATATTTCCATAAATTTCTTTTTTCTTTAAGGTTCATTTTTGATATTTCCATGCTAAATTAATTTGAATTATATATATGTAGGTTATAATTTAACTATCAAATTCAAAGATAATGTTACCCATATAATAAAATGAAAAACATAAAAAATTTTTAAAATTGCGAAGTTTATTCACAAATTAACCTTTGTGCAGCATGTGTAACATTCAAAAATTTGATATACCACAAAAATTCTATATATAGTGACGGATAATAAAACTTTGATCGGCAATAAAAGAAAAAGGAAGTTTTCAATAAACAAATCAAAATTGAGTGAAACCAAATAAAAATAATTTCAGCCTGGAATGTCGATCATCCAGGACTGGATGAAATTATTGGATAAAATTAGTAAAAATCATAAAAATTTTGCATAATTATTACAGGATCATTTCTAAAATAATTTAAGCCATTTTTCTCAGTTTTTTTTCTAATACTTTCAATAAAATTAATAAAATTAAATTAATCAAAATTGTTATGATGCAGTCTTTATTGATTTTATTGATATTACTTTCATAATTACTATGTAAGCACTTTGATTAGTCTGCCATACACATAGTGAAATTCGATATAATGAACCATCCGTTTCATTAGTAAAATTTGTCAAAAATCCGTTATATCAAGAATTCCGATATATCGAAGGTAAATAAATTATACGTTATGACCAGACCCTAATTCCGATATATCAAGAATTTACTTATGATCCGTTATATCGAGGTTCCAGTATATCGAATTTCACTGTGTATATAGCTTCAATAATAATTTTATTTTGCTTAATCTACTGTTGTTATATCAGTAAATACTTAAAAAAAAAGATCATTTGAAAATGTAAATTTTTATTAAATATAAAATGGGTATCTAATCAAAAACTTCTGATTTGACCAACCATCTGATTGATCGTTATTAAATAAAAAAATTTTAGATATTCAATTGCTATTATAATTTATAAGAAATAATGATTGTTATATTATTCTAATGAAATAGTACTAGTAAATTTTTAAAGTATAGATTTGAATACGTCTTTTTATATTTTTTAATGAAAAAACGTCAAATTTGACGTTTTTTTATGTTTTTTATTAATGGAAAACGTCAAATTTGACGTCTTTTTATCATTTTTTTAATTAAAAAACGTACAAGTTTATTTTATACTTTAAATGATAAAAATTTATTTTGTCTTTACTGCAGTTTTTTTGATATATTTATTTTTTGGCATTATTTTTAACAATATTTAAGTATTTTAATCCACCAATGTTTCATAAATGTAATTTAATTTTCTGTTATGCTTTTTGCTTGAAGTAAATAATTATTGCTAATTTTTTCAGAAGATAATGTAAGTGTTTATAATTTCAAAGATATCAAAAATGTAGCCTTGGGTCTCGGGTTTACTATACAATTTAAATAATATAAAGTTTGAGTTTATTTTGAGCTAACATGCACGTGAATAATTTTTCTAACACACTGCATATTATAGTATTATTTTCTTTCATTAGTAATTATCACTTTATAATAATTTGTAAGTATTAAAAGTATTTTTTTTTTTACATAAGTAAAAACTATTCCGGATTAATTTTGAGGCGATGTTGATATAGTAAACTATTTTTATCATGGGTGCTCCAAAAATTTCAATGACATGGACAAACAGATTTCGTCAGTCGCCATGTGATCCAATATGCTCATAAACATATATCTGATATAGTCTTTTCACTCCTTCGCTTTGCTTCAGACAATAAATCACATATAGTCTCCACTCTCCACTCTTCGCTCTGGCAAATTAAAATCTAATAACTATAATCTGTAAAAAATAAAAAAAAACACTGAAACTAAAATCTATAAATAATATAGCCCATCCTTGCAGAAAAGTCTCGTAGTTACAACTTACAACAAAAACTCTTTTCCTTTGATCTCTCAGGGTAGGTGTAGTGGAAAAATCTTACCATACTGCGGTGACTACCGCATGATGTCCGAGGTGTTGTGACAAATAGAGATCAGGCTAGTAAAAAAAAAACCGTCCCTCGGATAACTCGGATAAATATAAAAAAACGTGAACGCGGATATCACGTGACAATGTGATGCTAAATGTCACTGTGTAACTGAGGGTGGTGGTAAGATTTACCCATTGGGTATTACATGTGTCACCATAAACGTATATAGTGCGCCATTCCGCCACCCGCAGCCGTCTTCAAAGGTCGAAAATTACTCAGACTTTTTTATATGCCCACCTTCTTACTTCATAACAAAATTTGCAAAGAACACTATTGTACTGGCGCTTGATACTTTTAAAAGAAATGTGAAATTTTAAAAAAGTAACTAGAACTGTACCACTATGGCCGCCTGGCGGCGGCCTTCAAAATAGAATTAGGTGTAACATGAGCATAAATGCATAGTCAAATAAACACTTTTTTTAAAGAACCCCTAATTGCTTTATTACACTTATATGATAACAATCTAGGTTTGTTTATGAAATAGGAAGCGGTTGTGATGCTACTTGTTCCAAGCGAGAATATTCTTTAATCACATTTGGATCTACTTTAAATGCATCTCTATTTAAATTCATTGTTTGAATTTGATCCCATTTAGGACATCTGATTCAGTTTTATTATTAATTATGATTTAATGTTAGTAATATATTAAAAAAATTATTAGCAATCAAATTATTATGAAAGTTTTAATAGTTCGTATATATATATATGATCAGTGATCTATAACATATATTTGTAATATTATTATTAAGGATCAACAATTAAATTTTACAATAACTTCAATTTTTTTTTTTAATAAAAAATAAATAAATATAATGTTTATTAC